CACCTATGATTAACCAAATAAATTAGGGATATCATTAAGATATCGGTAATTTACAACATGGAATGTAAAACTTGTAACAACTTCAACATCTTACAAATATTATTGTAAGATGAGAACATCACAAATAGGATTATATTAACAATTTATGAATGTAGACTACATAGTAACAGTTAACTATTGTCGATAAACGATGTTCACTTGAGATTGAATATATTAATTTATTAGGACCAACTTATATAATGTTGGATTCATCTCATTAGACTGGAATGATATTTACAATTCAAATCCAATAATATTATACACGGTTTTTATAAAATTATTTCATGATGTTCTGGTTAGAGAATTATTATGTCAGTTATTCTCTAGTCAACACATTCTAATATTAATTTCATCAAGTTTATGTTTATATATACTTGGGTTTATTTTATTGGACTGAAATAATATTTTAAAACTCAGATCCAGTATACACGAATGGTTTTAACGAAATTATACTATGACGTTGTGACTAGAAAATTACCATCATTTAATCTTTCGTCAATACATCGTAATATCAATTGATGTCTTGTTTTGTTTTTTTAGAAAAATTCACGATAAATATTACTAATATAAGGGGTACGTTATGAGGTGAAATTTAAACCAATTTTCATGTATAAAGAATCTAAAAGCTTTTATGTTTTAGAGTATTTCTCACAATAAAAAAAGATTGTGTCCGAAATTTTTAAAAATTAAAGATATTTACTAGAGAGAATAACCAATAGGGCTGTTAGGTCTCCCTTTTAAATTTTATATATAAATATATCAAATTTCATCTCTTAAAATCCATTTCTTACATTTTAACTTCTTTTATTAATTGTTGAACTTACCCTTTTAAATGCTAGCTCAAATGCAATTTCTTTGTTCCAACACTAAAAATTTCTATATATATTTTGTTGAAGATGAACAAAAAGTTACTGAGAGAGATAGAAGGGATATAGGATAAAGATGAGAAAAGACATTGAAACTTTGAAAGACGACAAGTGGGGATAATCAAGTTTGTTTGGCTTTTGAAGAATAAACAATTAAATAACTTAAAAGAAAAAGGTGATCATGGAGGCTGTGGCTGTCGGTAACAATACTTTATGGAGAAAAACTTAGAATGGGACGGTGGTCCCTCAAGCTTAATGATGCTTAACCCATCTTTAACACACAATTAGCTAGGGTTTGAAGAAGAAGAAGAAGAAGAAGAAGAAGAATGAACAAAAAGCTTTAGCTTTAGCTTTAACTTTTCTTCATGTATTTTGGTTATGGAAATCGGAAAATCATCATCATTGACTTGCCAAGGACATTTTTTCAGCACCCCCAAAAAGTTAGACAAACATGAGCACTCCTGCCGATTTTATATTTGTGTCAATGGTCTCTCCCTTCGAGGAGAAAAAACAAGTCTCTTGTTTTGATCTATATAAAAAGACTGTTTTGAAAGTTGATAAAAAAGAATGCGACTCATCAATGCTATGCGGACTAATTCAATTCACCAACTCATTCAATTATTAGTTTGATACGGGAATCTTAATATTTCTAATTAGGTGATTTCGCGGATTCTACATATGATCAAGTGGCAGTAACCTCTTAAGGTTATACAGTTTACAATGAGGGTCATGCTTAGATACCAATAGATGCAAATTCATAAAACTTTATGAAAACTTGGTTAGTTGTTTGGTTCGAAAAATGTATTTCTAATATTTACTTACCGAAAAAAAAAAAAAAAAGCTTTAAATAAACTTAAAAAGAGTTTGTGGGAGAAGTTCAAAGTCTATTTAAAACCCTTTTCAAATTTTTTTTAGGTTACATTGCATTTCAAAAGCGCGTATAAAATTTAAAATAAGCTACTTTACGGCTTATAGGAGAAGCTCAAATTTTTCACAAAAGGTCTACTCGTATTAAAAGTCATTTTTAGTAAATTAATATTAGTTCTTTTACATTTTCCTAATCAAACACACGTCTATCAAAATTTTCACAAACCTCTACTCATAAAGCTTTACTCTATTAGTTTCTTCTTCCATATCTATTAAAGATGTCATACTAAACAGACCGTAAAACTAGCTTGTAAGGGGAGGGTATCAAAAAGTTAATAAACCACCACCCAATACTTAGCCATTTGTAAGATCCTAACATAGTCTTTAACATGAAACGTTTGGTTGAAATATTATCTTGTAGTTATTATTGCTGTCAACCAACGTTGGTTGGATTTTATAAAATATTGATGTCTTCAGCTTAATTTTTCATGTGTTTTTATATGAGAGAGAATAAAAATTATTAATATTGCACATATAACTTGATACACACAAATTAATGAAAGAATAACATAAACTTGAACTGTATAACTAGTTAACCAAATTCATACCCTATATAAAGTGTTTGTTTTTGTTTGTTTGTTTGTTTTGGTTTTTTTTTTTTTTTCTGGTATTAAATACTATAGAATCAAATGGGACAAAGATAAGATCTAGCTCATTATTTGCAAGATTCAGGTTCTAAATCTAATAATTAATTATTTATAAAATTAAATAAATGTTGGAGATTTTGTATGCACAAGATTAGTAAATATATTATATACACAACAAATATATAATTATCATATCTTAAAGAGTAGGTAACTGTTTACTTATGTAACAATTCTCCCTTTTTGTATAGTTAATGTAATATTATGGTATCTCAAACTAATAATAAATAATCTCCAAAATCATGAGCATGTATTTCTTATAATTTAATTCTATAGCACACATGTAATCCCACTTGTAATAATAAAAAATAAGAAATTTTATGCCTCTTATGTAAAGAGTATTTAATACATTTTCGTGTAGATGATTTACTACTATTTTCAAAGCAAAGGCCAAAAAAAGAAAAAGAAAAAAATAGCCTTTCCAAAAGTAAACTAGCTCTACCCAGAGATTCGCTACAAACAAAGATTTAATTAATCTATATAAAAATAAAAATAGCCTTTCCAAAAATAAACTAGCTCTACCCTGAGATTCGCTACAAACAAAGATTTAACAAAATCTATGTTATTGAAAAAAAAAAACATATTTGTTATGATATTCATATATATTTTTTAAATAGATAAAAAATTAGACCGATGTAAATAATTCATTTTTCAGATGTCTTTTAATAAGGTTCTGATTTTAAAATAATATGAATGTAAGAGATACGTAGTCTTACATTAACTTGATATATATCTCTTTTACGGACGTTTGTATGACGTAAAAAAATCTTTTTATTATTATACCATTAACTTGATATCCCATTATAATTTTAAACTTTTCTAATCTGTTCTTTGGATTATAAAAAGGATATTTATAAACTAATCATCTCATGTGTCCTCTTTTAACTATTGGTTTAGTAATACTATGGGATTAACCTTGAATTTAAAAGAAAGATTAGCCAATCAATTACTCTCTTATCTGAGCAAATTAATTATAGAAAAGAATAGTAATAAAAGTCTGCCTTGGCGGCAAGTGAAACAACGGTATTGATATGATAACCTCCTAGAAGCAAAAAAAGATGGATTACTATTAAAGGCTTGATAAAAAGATTTTACTTTGTCTTCATTGTAATGATTTGATGGAGGGGAAAACCAAAATTGACATTAAGTAAAAGATTCACGAACGATCAATCGACAATTAAGTTTCTTTAGAAGTTTTATATCACGGCTTTGTTGATTAACTTTTCCACGTGATTTCCTCTCAAAAATGAATAAATATTCAATGAAAAGTATTGTTTATAACAGAAAAACTAGGAAAAGCCAAGGGCTAAAATCATGAAAGTAGACATATCCCAATCATAACAATCTTCGTTGACACCAAGAAAATTGACTTCCTCAAGCAACGGTTGAGTGAAGAAAGGGTATGCCCCTCTCTTGCTACAAACTTTAATTAATTTATAATATAAAGTTTTATTATATTTGTAACTCTATATGACTTCAACATATGATATTTATAATCAATTTGATTTATATTATTAAGTCTAGAAGAAGGAGAAGGAGGGAGAGAGAGAGAAAGAGAGAGGGAGCTTTTTTAATTAATTACACGTTGAATTTTGATGCAAGAAATGATGTGGGTTATCTTTGAATCATTACGTCGCTTCTCCAAAATGGCCATATTATCATTCATCCTCCACCAGCAATCATATCTCTTTTCCTTGTTTAGTAATCTTATTATATAATTTTAATTTTTTAAGTAATTACTATGGTCATATCCTTGATCTACGTACCTCTCATGTACAATTTCTCATAAAAAATTGACCCCTTCTATATAAAGTAAGCTGGGTATTGACTCCATGCATGGGGTATATTATGTAGTTAATTTGATGAATAATATAAACACCAATTTCAAGTGGTATATAGACAAGACAACTTTAATTAGATCTAATTAAATAATTAATTAACAATAAGCTCAAGTATGTAAAAGATACGGGTTAAGTAGTTTAATTATTTAATGTTACTTGTTTAAGTATGCTTGTAATTTTATAATATGAAAGTGTGCAAATCGTGGTGGACACCAAAATCATCTTCAAATCTTTGTTAAAATATTAACAATTAGTGTGTTAATTACTCATAATTAGAGTGAAGAATATTCATACTTGACCTACTTAAGACCTTATTATAAGTTTTTATTAAGAAAATTAATTATTAAAGTAGTTTCACCACCATATTGGTTAAGCTCTTGTTGCTTCTTAAAGGTTATACAATAGTTTTTGTATTATATACTAATCAATATTGACTTAATTTTAATTAATTAGTCAATATTAAACAAAACAACAAACAACAAATAAAAAAAAGTAACAACCGAGTTTGAAAACAATGGCTGAATTGGAAGCTACCAAAAAAAACACTCAATGAAACCAATGGTTCTTTCATGAGTACACCCCAAGACAAAAAAAAATTTCAAGCATTTTTCTTCTTCTTCTTCTCTCTCTCTATATATCTCTCTCTACATTTCCCAATCAGACATGTATAATGGAGACAGATTAAAAGATGTTTATATTTCCAAATTTGAAGGAATTTATACATCTATATAAACAAGTACCTAACGCACTAAACGGTGAGCTTTATTTGATAATATCACTGATCATCATCGAGCTAGACGTTGAGGAACATTAAAATGGTTCATCACTGCTGCAGCAAACAGAAAGTCAAGAGAGGCCTGTGGTCTCCTGAAGAAGATGAGAAGCTTATCAAATATATCACCACCCATGGCCATGGCTCTTGGAGTTCTGTTCCCAAGCTCGCAGGTAAAAATTCTTATCAAACATATATAGATAAGTTTATCACCATCGCCACTCGTGGTAGATTTGCCACGACAAGGGAGCCTCGAGCTCTCTCAGGCGTTGGCATGGGACTATTGTGACGCAGGTTTTCATTGTAGCTACGAAATTGTTGCGTCATAGTAGGCCAGAATTCCTGTAGTGTTAAGTTCTTGGTTTCTTAATTTGGTTATTTTAATTTTTTGTTATGAATAATTTCTAGGGTTACAGAGATGTGGGAAGAGTTGCAGATTGAGATGGATAAACTACTTGAGACCAGATCTGAAAAGGGGTTCATTTACTGAGCAAGAAGAGAGGACTATCATCGATGTTCATAGAATTCTTGGCAACAGATGGGCGCAAATAGCGAAGCATTTGCCTGGAAGAACTGACAATGAGGTCAAGAATTTTTGGAACTCATGCATTAAAAAGAAACTTCTTGCTCAAGGGATTGATCCCAATACTCACAATCTCCTCTCTCCTTCTCAATTTTTTCATAACAATACTTCCAACAATATTGTAGCATGTAACAACAACAACAAGAAGCAGCTTCTTCCTCCAATGTTCCTCCTAAATTCACAAATGAAAGACGATAATAATTCTTCCATGGAGGCCATGAATTTGAAATCACCATTTCTCACTGATAATAACATTTTCCCCAATTCTTTATCATTGCATGAAATCTCAAACCTACCAAATATAATGACTACCTCTCATGAGTTCCAAAACCCTAATATGTTTTGGACAATGGAAGGCCAAAATCATCCCCAAAACGTCCCTGCTGTGTCTTCTTCTCCATTAAATCCAAGTGGGTTCGACCTCATTGATGAGAATTGCATTTGGAATAATGAAATAACAATGGAGATTCAACCTCAGCCTCAGAATGTGATCTACGAAGTTGAAATTGAGAAACCTATAGGGCAAAACAACAACATGAGCACATCATTTGAGAGATCTGATTTTGATTTTGAGTTTGTGGAGTCAACAGTAATGCCTTGTGGAATGTATAGTAACCTTATTGTCATAGACCAATTTGCATGGGATTGTTAATTAATTAATTAGGGCTTTACTATTTTTTTTTTTCAATTTTTTTGAGGCTTTATTGTCCGTACGTGGCCATCTTGAAACCCTAGATATCAAATCTTGTTAATTATAATAAACAGTTGTGTATGTCTTCTTTATGTTTTTCTCTTTCTTGTTTGATTGGTTTCTTGTTAATTAATTACTTTCGTTACTTAATGGCGGAGAAAGTAAAACACAAAAGCACTTTAAATCGTTGGGTTTTCAGGATAAATGGCGACATTTGAAAGGGTTCTTTAGAGAAGGGTCAAACTTTCAATATCACTTTTATGAAACTCTTCAAATTAATAAAGGCGACAAAAGAAAATTAATCTATTTGCTTTCCCCTAGGGTTGTTGACCCATGGTTAGGGGCAGGTTGATTACGGTATAAATTGTAAATTTGATGTAAATTTTTGTGTGAGTTCGATTGTCCGACATTGATGTGATACCCCGTAATTTTTGTTAATTTCATTAAGAAGTTTTCTTTGTAAATTAGGGGGCAAAGTGTAAGGAATTGAAACTTTGAAGGAGGAAGGGTTACAACGAAAAGATGGAGGACTATATTGAAAATTTTTAATTAGTATAAAAGAGCTAGCTAGAGTTCTTTCATTTTGGGCAAAAAATAAAATAAAATAAAATAAAATCGGCATAAGAGGAAGAAAAAGAAGGAGAAGAGAGGAAGAGAAAGGGGAGAAAATAAGGAAAATCCAAAAAAAAAAATTGTCCAACGTAAGTGTAGTTCATGCATGCATTCCATCCTAAACTTCAACATTTTCTACTTTTCTACCTTAAATATTAAGGAGTAACTAATGGTGGGTTGATTTGGGGAAAATAGGTGAAGAGAAGGAAGGATCCGAGTACCCAAGCTAAGGGGAACAATTGGTGAGTGGAATATTATAAATATTGCATCAAAATCATATTTTGGAAAAATCATTTTGTGTGTTGATCATGGATGCATTATATGTGTGAGATTGGTGTAGTTGAATGGAAAATCCAACCATTTTAAAAGGGTTGGTTTGTTTGTGTGAGTTGTGGAGGAGTTGAGAGTTATAGAGAGAGAGTTGGATTTATGGGTTGAATTGTGGGATCATGGAGATCCTGAAATTGGGTGTTTTGTGTGTATTGTATGTTTAGGATGATTTATTGCATATACATGGGTGTGTTGTAGCGTAATTAAGGTGTGGAAGAATTGAGAAGAAGAGAAAATGGTGAGAGAAAACGCGACTGGGTGGAGAAGAAACCCATATTTGAAAAAAATCGGGTTCTCGCTACAACAAGGTGGCTTATGGAATGTTCCAGGAGCCTTCGAGAGAACTTAGCCGCGACGAAGCATTTAGGGGTAATTTGTAACTTTTGAAACCTGTCATATAGATAGGGGGTAAACTACAAAGATTTAAAAGTTAGAGGTCGTAAGGTAACTAATAAATATGGGAAGTAAATGGATATTTTACTTGATGTATATTTTTCAACATCACGAACACTACATTCACTTTCACACATGGGTTTTAATTATACATTACCTGGTTATATTTATTTGTGTGTGTCAGTGTGTGTGTGTGCGCGTTGGATGAATTAGATCGGAGACCACCTTTCAGCAGTACCCATCCCCTTCAGACTTCAGCTAGTGATATTATCTAACCTCATGTGTGCATAGAGATGACCCGTACTACCGAACGATGACAAGCTTAGACCATCCTATAGGGACAGGATGGGTGCCTGACGAGCTCTAGGCAATTTGGCACCCTGAGGATAGACCATGAGTGGGACTTTGATATTGACGCCCTAAGGATAGACTGTGCGCGAGATTTTGTGATGGGATGCCATATCATGACACCCCGCGGATAGACAATGAGTCGAGTATGGCTATTCCAAGATGATTTCGGCCATCCCGAGGATAGACCGTAGATGGTTCCACCCCGAGGATAGACTCTGGGTGGCCTAATGGATTGTTTGTATTAGGGACCTATACATTAGAGTTGTGGTCCAGGTCTCGTGGATACTAGTATGGTAGTGTTGAGTATGAGTATATATATGGATTGGTGGTTGAGTGACATTCATCAAGCTTTTACTTGAAATGTATTTTCCCTTACCAGTATTTTCTTTAGAAATATATTAACCACTCACTAGGCTTTCTATCTCACTGTTTTATGTTTTCATCCCTCTCCCTTCCTTCCCTTCCCACCCCCCCCCCCCCCCCCACCCCCCCCCCCCCCCCCCCCCCCCCCCCCCAAATGGGTTTACTACACAGTTCATGCAGAGCCATTTGTACGCTCTAGGTTACCCTACGGATGCATGTTCTACCTTATGATGTGTGTTCATTTAGTGTACTCTGATACTCTATTTTGTAACTGACTTTTTGCCTTTACGTTTCCAAAGACTCTTTGTACGTGTATGAATAACTGTTTTACTTAACTTATGTTATAATAAACAGATTTTATAAATGACTTTGTGATTTATTCACCTTCCTCTCGGGTTCTTGGGTCCCTCGGAGCGCCCAGATCTGATGGGATAGGGATTACCCGGGAGGGGGCGTGACAATTGATGTATAAGTCTTAAATTTAAATTATATGTACATTTGTTGTGGAATCGAACATTTGTTTGATGGTTGTCTCTTTGTCCTACTTTAATTAATGACATTGGATAATCCGTTTCAACATCAAAAAAAGACATATCTTACCAAAAAGACGAAAAGTGCTTTTGCTTGAGTGTGCACGGTTTTACCTACATATAAAAAAGGTACTACCCAACCCATAACGAGTCAATTGCAAAATGAGTTTTATCTCTTTGTTATACTTATTTACATTTATATGAGTTTTATTGTTCATCGTTGTGAGCAGTGACGGATCCAGGATTTTTGTCCAGGGGAGGCCTCCGCAGCTCGACCATTATTTGTCAAATAATTAGTGAAAACTTTAAAAAATCATCAAACCTTAATAATAAAAAAAATAATACAATATTAAGAACATGAGAAAAAAGAATATACATTAACACAATATTTTCTTACTTGAATAAATCTATGAGAAGCAAAATTTTGAGTAAAAGTGTTGAGCAAACCTTAAACAAAACTTTCTCTTTTAATATTTTTATTTTTGGCTTTCAAATATTATATATAAATTTTCATAGCGTTAATCAAACTTAACTTAATTAAGCTAAAGTCACTAAAACTTAAATAAAGTCAACGTTACGTTAACTTTTAATATGAATTAATAAATAGAGGAATTTTTTTTAGTATAAACATAGATAGTAACTCAAATTTCTTTAATAATTTTGAACAACTGAGGGTAACGTTTAAAATTTAGGAAAGTGGTGGATGAAGGGTGAAGAATAACATCCTTTAAAATATAGTTAAAGTTTTAATTTGAGAAAGCAGGTTCATTCTTAGACAGAAAATATAAAATAAACTCAAAGATTGATATTTTTTTCTCTCAAATTAGAATAGAAAACCTCAAAAGAAAAAAAAATGATTAAATCATTAAATAAACTAAATTGAAATAACAATACACATACCTAAAATCTATAAAAACAGAAAACGGAGCTAATTATGACACCTTGAGTAGTAAAACTTTAACAATTTTAATCTTCAAAAATTTAAGAGAGAATAACATGAGAAAAGAAAGAGAAAGTAAAGAATTTGCGGACTAAATCATAAAAAACAGGTAAAACTGTGTAGAAAAACATTGAAGAGAGTTTTAAACTTTTAATATAATGTGGCTTGGATATATAAACAGAAAACGGAGCTAATTATGACACCTTGAGTTGTAAAACTTTAACAATTTTAATCTTCAAAATTTTAAGAGAGAAAAAGAAGAGAAAGAGAAAAAAAAAAAGAATTTGGGACTAAATCATAAAAAACAGGTAAAACTGTGTAGAAAAACATTGAAGAGAGTTTAATTTATAATATGAAATGTGGGTTTGGAATTATAAAACAGAAAACGGAGCTAATTAGACACCTTGAGTAGTAAAACTTTAACAATTTTAATCTTCAAAAATTTTAAGAGAGAATAACATGAGAAAGAGAAGAGAAAGCAAAGATGGACTAAATCATAAAAAACAGGTAAAACTGTGTAGAAAAACATTGAAGAGAGTTTTAAACTTTTAATATGATGTGGGTTTGGAATATATATATATATAACAAGTTTTTTGTAGACCTAGATATACAGTATATATAATAGTTCTTGTTTTTAAAAATCTGAAGTGCGTTTAGATATATGTTAATTAACAATTTTTTATGACTTGTATAATAATTTTTTTTTTTCAAATCTGAGGTCTACCTCAAAGGGGCTGAATCCGCCCCGGTGTGAGTCTTAAATTTAAATGGTAACATGAGTCTTGGTCAGACACTTGTTCGATATCTGTCTCTTTTTATATTACTTCAATTACCTACATGAGGTTGTCAATTCCAAAAGTCATGTTGAGGAGAGGAGATATATCCTTGTATTAAAAAAAAAAAAAAAAAAAAAAACCGTTATTTGCTTGTGTATGGGTAATTTCACTTACATTAACATAAGCATTACTACTTAACCCATGAAGGGACAAAGTCGAGAATGAGTAAAAACCCAATTACAACCATTTACATCAAGGTTGGGTCGGGTCATAGTTTACATAACGATCAATTAATTTATATGAATTTCAAAAATTTCAAACTTTTTAATATAATTATTTAATTACATTAATAATTGACTAAAACTGTTTTAAATAATTATTTAAGGGATGAAGTGAGGTTTTATGATATGGAGGTTGAATTTGTTAGTTCAATTTATAATTTGGGGAAATTTTTGTTTTTTTATTAAAAAAAAAAAAAGAGCAATTCTAAACGTACAAATAAATCTTTTTTTGAATATGATAAGTTTAACTTTTTTCATTCACACTATATAGAAATATTTATATAATTTCTTTGTACGTCTAACATTATTATTAAAAAAATAATTAAAAAAATCCTTCAAACTTGGTTGCTTGCAATTTTAACATTAGAAGCTGATCACATCTACATTTAATAAACAAAGGTATTTTGGCCCAACCCAAAGGATACAACCTTACATTCTCATGGATTAACCCAAGATCTAAT